AAAATAAGGAAAAAACAAGCAGACCAATTAACCATCCAGGGCCTCTTCCTCCTGCTGTTGGTTCTCCCCTCACTGGTCTGGGGTTTTCCTCTCCCAGGATAGAGAAGGAACAGGGACAGAACTGTTCTGGAGCTGCCCTGAGACCTGACCCCACTCACTGTCTTCCTCTCCCCCAGCCATGCCCTGCCCGGTGAGGACACCGTGCCTGGGGAGTCTAAGGGATTATTGATCCTGATGTGTCACCTAGCTCTTTTTTGGCAAGGGACTGGACACACTTACTGAACTAAAAGAAGTTAATATTTTTTAATGGTAGAAATACATTAATACTGGGCGCCTGGGTGGCTCAGTTGGTTAAGCGACTGCCTTCGGCTCAGGTCATGATCCTGGAGTCCCGGGATCGAGTCCCGCATCGGGCTCCCTGCTCAGCAGGGAGTCTGCTTCTCCCTCTGACCCTCCTCCCTCTCATGCTCTCTGTCCCTCATTCTCTCTGTCTCAAATAAATAAATAAATAAAATCTTTAAAAAAAAAAAAAAAGAAATACATTAATACTTGCAAGAGACAAGAGTGGGTTTGGACCTGGCAAGCCCAGGGGCTCACACTCTCACAATGTGACCTGGACCATCTCCAACCCTCCATCCTAAGTGCTCTGGGGTGGCCCCATTCACAGGCACAGTCTCTCTCACTGCATCTGGGGCCTCCCACAACTCCAGGCTGACACCCACTCACCATCCATTCATTCTACTGGGAAGGGTTTCTCTTTCCCTGGGGTTCCATGAAAAGTCATGGCTTTAAGTGTCTTTGGCCTGGCTTGGTTCACATTCTCATCCTTGAAGCCATCAGAGCACCCAGCCGATGGAGGAAGGAGTTGGGTAGGCCTGGATCATATGTCCATCTCTGAGGTGGGTGGAAAGTGGGGTCTGCCTTCTGGAACTGTTTGGATGGGAGGCAGGTGAGATGTGATTCCCAAAGACAAGCTGAAGTGCTGGACTTGGGCATGAGAACGGATGCTGGGCTGGTAAGGCAGCAGATTCCACATCACTGGTGGCTGACTGCCCGGCTGTGGAATTTGAAGCCCAAGGAAGGAAGAGGTCTCTTAGGGTCAGGGGCTTGCAGCCGCCCATCTAGTGTTCTTGCTGTTCTCCCATGATGGCAAGACACTCTTCCACTTGCTGAAAAAGCAAGTTTGCTGTTGGTGGGAAACTCAAGGGAAATTCCTGCCCTGGGCATTGGGTCCTCACATCCCAGAGACTGGAAGGCACACAGACCTCACTTGTGTCCCTGGGAGGAGGGAGCCCAGGAGTCACACATTAATCACACCATTAATCACCCATCCCCAAAGAACACACTGGCTCATTTTCCAATCTCTTCTCTCACCTTTACAAAAAGCAGAGACCAAATGTGAGGCTGGTGAGTAAATTATTGCTCATTGAAGCAGTGGGAGGCTCAAGATTATTCCACAGCACGGAATCCACACTTGGCACACTGTTCAAAGGCCACAGACCCTGGGTCATGCATGAGGCTCTCTGAGACCACGCAGGCTCAGTGAGATACTGCCCCCTGGGAGACACAGTTGTTCCTACATCCTTGATTCCTAACAAGTATGCATTTCAAATATTTACATTATAACCTGGAGGCCAAAGGACTGCAGGGCCAGTCTGCTGTTTGGCTGCTGTGGCCAGAGCCACATTCTGTATCTGGACGATTATTACCTCTCTTAGCAGGCTCAGAGGCTGTGAAGGAGGAGGCACTTTTCTCAACCTCACAGACGTTGGGAATGAAAACATCCCAAGGAGCTGTCTACACCGTCCATGGACCTGATATGTTGCCAGGAGCAAAGTCAGCTCAGTAACTGGCTGGAGGTTGTCAAGATCCAGACTGGCCTGACCTGGAGGACCACCGATGCCTGCCTGGATGGTCGGAGGCCAAGGGCTGTTCTGTCTGAGACTTCATTGTCTACTGCTGATCACATGGATGGGATGAAGGATCCAGCCAGTGCCAGGAGGGCACCACCAGCCCACAAGAAAGCTGCACAAAGGGGCTGGTAGGCCACCACACCTCATCCTATATAAATCCACACATACCTACCGAGTGCCCTGTGCTGGAACCTAGGAATCCCCAGGCAGAGTGGGGCCAGAAGCACCCTTTCCAGGTGGGAGGGCGGGAGGATCCTGCATGACCTCTGAGGCCATCCACAACCCGTGATTTGGGTTGAGTTGGATTTGATTAGCAATAATCGTGCCTCAGATAAACCTCTTTGGCTACGAGACTGCCACTACGCAAAGCTGGTTGAGTTGGATTTGAAATAGTCAGTGACCAGGGCACACATTTTACTCTGCTTTTAGAGCCCAACACTGAGGGGTATAAAAACTATGCTCCCCAGACCATCTCCTGATGCTTATGTGACATGACAGTCCTGTCCATCCTAGAGGCTGAGAGAGAGGAAAATAGAGAAGAGACAAAGACAGGGAAGGGGGCCACTTATGATCAAGCAAAACCCTGACCCTGACCCTGATCCTGACCCAGAACCAGGCCCTGATCTAAACACTGACCTTGATTCTGACCCAGAATGTGAGGCTGACCTGGACCCAGACCAAGATCCTGACCCAGATCCTGTCCCTGACCCTGACCCTCAACCGTGACCCTGATACTGTCCAACAAATAAGGTATATCAAGTGAGAATAATGAGAAACTAGACTCCAAAAGAAAGGTCCAATTTGTATTGTGGAGATTCAAATGTCTGGCTGAGCATTTGGAGCTGTGATGGCTGAGCAAAACCACTAAAGACCCTAAGCAAAGGTGAGGATATCTAATATGACAATTTTTCATCCAGGGATGGGTGGAGACTTGGCCCAAAGAGTCCCTGTTCTGGGTGGCTTCCAAAGGATAAACCAGCCATTCCCACCAAGAGCACACAATGAGAGACTGTCCTATAGTTGTGACCTCCGTGCAGTTCTGCTCAGCTTCCTTTTCTCCTCAGTGTTTTGGGAAAATATCTTTTGCACTTTATAGATCTAAAATTATTAAGTGGTCCCTGTAAATTCCCTTCTGCAGGTGGAAGAGTCTAGTGCCTAGGCAATCTGACGCCAATGGCAGTGCGGGAGCACATGAGTTCAGCAGCAAAATGACTCATCCTTGCCTGGGCTTGTTCAATGCAGATATTCTGACTCATAGGAATTGACCTGCCAGCTTGCTCCCTTTACTAGGGGGCGATGAAGTGAGTCACAGGGGCATCAGCTGAACCTCAGCAAAATAAAGACTCGTAAAAAATCCATTGCCTTGAGACAACAGTTTGGGGGTTGCTAGATTACGTCCAGAGGGGAGATGTGTACCTCAGCAGAGGGGTGGGAAGGAGGCACAAGGGCCAAAAACATCCACTTGGAGACTTAGGAAGAGAGAGGAGTGGAGGTGGTATTGATCCCTGAAATGAAAACTGATGTTTTCAGATCCACTGTAATAAAGACAGGAACTAAAGCTGAGCCATAGGCTACAACCGATCTGACAGTAAGTTAGGGGAAAGAAGGACACAGAGAGATTTGAACATTCGTCCACTAAACATATGCTAGAATTCATAATACATTGATTCCAAGTAAAAAATGTTCAGTAATTAATAAAAAGCAGAGGGATCTACAGTAGGAACTGAAACAGATCTCCCAAATGGGTTTCAGTTTTGAAGGAGGGTCTCTGGCATTCTCATCTTCATATGATTGGATTATGGGTGTCACAAAAGAAAACAGTATTTCACAGACTTGAGGTGTAAAAAGTCCCTGGATTCTCTAAGCAGTCTGGGACTCCACTGCTGGAAAGAAATGTTTGTTGAGTAAAACTCAGTTGGAGCAGGCTGTCACTGGAGTGAAACAGAACGTTCCTCAACAATCCGCTTTTACACACTGTTTCCTGACTTCAACAGACCGAGAAGAAACTAGTTTTTCTCCCTCAGAACACAATTCACATCTACAAATACCCTATCTTATAAGGGATGTGGCTTACTCAATTTCAAGAACTTAGTTTTTTAAAATAAACATTCTTGGGGCACCTGGGTGGCTCAGTGGGTTGAGCATCTGCCTTCAGCTCAGATCATGATCCCAGGGTGCTGGGATTGAGCCCATGTCAGGCTCCCTGCTCAGCAGGGAGTCTGCTTCTCCCTCTCCTCTGCTCCTCCCCCTGCTAATGCTCTGTCTCTCTCACTCTCAAATAAATAAATAAAATCTTTAAAAAAATTTTTTTTTAAATTCTCATATTTTCCCTTCAGTAAAACAGAACTGAATTTAGTTGCTTCAGAATCTAAGAATGATGAACATGTGCTTTGGGAAACAAAATAACAGCACAGAGGTAACACTAAGATGAAAGAGATTGTTCTTAGGTTTTACAAGAAAGGAAACGTTAGATGTTATTCTGCTATAAACTAATTACTGGAAATAGGAGCATCCGGGCCATAGCTACATTTGCTCACGTCTCACTGAGACTTAAACAAAAAAACGGCCAATAACATCCTCACCGCGCAGAAGGGGCGCAGGCCCGGCCCACCAAGCAGCGCTTCGTGCAGCCTCGGCGCCACGTGCCACGTCGGCGCCACGTGCCACGTGCGAGGCGGAGGAGGCTGCAGGAAAAGGAGCAGGGGACAAGGGCTCCTTTGGAGAGTGCAAAGTTTCAGACTTGTTGCATTTAGAATTTTAATTCTTTGGCAATTTTTACTTAAAAAAATAAACCTCTCAGTGTTTGATGTGACAAAGGCTGCCATGTCCAAAAGTAAGAGGAGGAAAAAACAAAACTAAGGACACAGTTAATGAGTTGGTGAACATACACACGTCTCTTCCGGGCTCATTACAGTAAATTCCTAACCCCAACCCCTAAACCCTAACCCCGCCCCCACCTCACGGGACCGGAAGTTAGGGACGCCTGCAGCGAGCTGAGGTCCGGCCATTTCCTTAGTCCCGCCTCCTCTCCCCTGCAAACGCCGTTCTGCGCGCCTTCCGGTGGCCAACTTCCGCCTTCCGGCCGCGAAGTGTAACCACAGGAGAGCCCGGTTCCCCTCGCTCTATGGCGGCAGCCCGTGCGGGGCCGGCTGAGCTGGGCTTCGTGGAGGCGGCGCCGGCGTGGCGGCTGCGCAGCGAGCAGTTCCCAAGCAAGGTGGGCGGCCGGCCGGCGTGGCTGGGCGCGGCC